GAAGACCCACTTCGGTGGTGGTGCGGGATGTCCAGGTGCTTTCCGAAATTCTGTTGTCTTGCTTTTCGTTTTCTCTGCGTGCCTGCGACTTCAGTTCCTGCAGAGCGCATTTTTTCAAGTGCAGGAATTGTTAATCGCCTCAGGTTCTGTCTTTCTTTTGTTCGTTTTGTTTTTAGATGATATAGTCTACATGATGAAGTATGTTTTTAAAAGCCGTTTTAATGCTATTCCTTGATAAAATTTCCTATAGTTTTTGACTTGTGTTTAATATGTTGACTAACGTTATATGAAGATGAAGAATTCTGTCAGGCTATTGATTGATTTTCCATTGTTCTGCATTTCCCCAGCTGATTTTAATAAATAAGCATTGGCTGACGTTGAGCGTGTGCTCTTCTTTTTTTTCTCTTTTTAACGACCACCTAAAATTAAATTATGATAATGCGAGGTAAGTGTACGGCATAATTGTGACCTATTTTTTTAGCGGAATTCATTGAGGCATTTGACAGTGTGATTCATAGATTAAGTATTTCAAATGTAGGCTATAATATACACGCACGCACAAAGTTTTTTTTTCTTAATATCTTTTGGGGGTTTCTTGCTTTTAGACTAGTCGACTAGTCGGATACAAAACTTCCATTTAAACAACAGTCAAATTAGTCGCTGCGCACATCCCTACTTAAAAACAGATGCAAATGATAAACTTTTTGTGAAGACGCGGTAGTGGCCTAATCGGGCAAGTGACAAATCCGTCAACTGGGCCATCGGGCATTCCTTATTGTCGAGCCCTGAAGACGTAGATGAGTTTGTTTCCTCTTCAGAATAGATTTGGACAAATTAAGCATTACATCACTTGCTCACCAATGAATCCTCTGTAGTGAATGGGTGCCGTTAGAATGAGAGTCCAAACAGCTGATAAGAAGAATCCACAAGTAATTCACACAAGTAAAAATCTTGCAGTTAGTTAATGACACCCATGCACTGCGGAAGGGCCATTGGTGAGCAACCGATTAAATGCCAAATAAAACAAACTTTGCTGGCCTGATGGTGAGTACATTTTCTGAAATTTTTCATGTTATTATTAAATTATTATATATTTATGAACATAAGTTTTTATTATCATTAGAATACTGAAAAATAGAAAATATAGAAATCTGGAACTTTCTGGTCCCAAAATACACGTGGCATATACAAAATGACATTTTAATCAAACCTTTCCTTCAGGATTGGGGAGCTATAAAAGGTGGTCAAATGAGTCCAGATGTGCAAGACTTTCTAAGGTCAGTGGATAAGTTCAACTGTACCCTATCTTCAGTGATGAGGAGCATGGATGAAAAGTTTAAGCTTCATAACATCCCATCAGCCCCTGACCTGAGTCATATACAGAAAGCTGAAGACTACAGTAATGCAGGTAAAATGTTGAATATGGGGAAAAGAGAAATAAATCATAAATCCACTTTATTTGATGTCAAAGTAATAATATTTGGGAGAGGCAGAGGGCTTAACACGTTTTCCAATTGTATATAAAATGTACATAATATTTATAGGAATTATCCCAAGGTCACATTTGATTTGATGCACAGAAATAACATATTTCACGTTTAATAACCATAAAAATGCATAACACACACAAAAATTACAAGCCAGTCCTAAACTTTAGTTGTTATTATTCTCTTTTTGGTTTTGGCATTAAGCTAATAACTCAGAGCTGGTAGAAAGTCTGGAAACAGTGCTGTTACACTGGGCCAAGCAGATAGAGCAAGTGCTTACAGAGAGTGAGCGCATTAGGAAAGAATCAGATGATATTGGACCCTCAGCAGAGCTGGCACACTGGAAGCGCAGAATGATCACCTTCAGCAGGTACCATGCCATCCAGCAGTGTTTTTTCTGCAGTAATAACATACACAATTGGTATTTAATTTAGTGTTTATACATATAAATATACAATTCACTGTGTATTAATGTTTTCTCAGCCTCTTGGATGAAATCAAGGACCCCTATGTGAAGATGATCATTGGTATATTGAATGCGGCCAAGTCGAAGACACTGAGTAAATGGAGAGAACTGGTCAGTTAAGTAGATGTTTTGTTGTGCTTTGTATTTTCATGCTTTTTAATACATATTACATGAAGAAATGCCACATTTTAAAATCAAAAAGAAAAAAGTAAGTAAGTATGTTTCGCATTTAGAGAATATTTTAAGGCCATCAACATTTGTTGTATTAGACATTATTTTAAGATTTACCTCCAAATTTTGCTTAATAAATCTCACTCATTAATGTGATCCTGTCTGGTCACAATGATTTTTGTTTTTAAATTAATATAAAAAATATTAATATAATAAATTCAGTACAGTGAATATGCAGGATTAATAAATAATGTAAATTTTCATAACCTATTTTTTTACATTACAATAAAAAACAATGAGTTTTATGTGTTACTGGATAAGAATTTTTAATTGTTAAATTAAATTGTTAAAGGAGACATATTATGCCCCTTTTACAATATGTAATATAAATCTCTGGTGTCCCCAGAATGTGTCTGTGAAGTTTCAGCTCAAAATACCCCACAGATCATTTATTATATCATTTTGAAAATGCCCATTTTGAGTGGAAGCAGAAACATGCTGTTTTTCGTGCCTGTCTCTTTAAATTAGGGATGCACCGATACTGATATCACAACATGTGATATGTGCCATATTCAGACAAAGAAACACTGACAGCAGAACAACAGACAGCAGAAAGGAGTTAAGGATGTCTACTACGAAGTATATGTATGCAATGAATATAATGTTAAACATTCAGTATTAACGCCTGTATAGCTGATGTGTGCAAGCTGATAAACAAAGCACGCGGAGTGGATTGAGCGCGCGGCAGCGCAGATGCGCGAGTTTGTCGAGTGAATATACCTTTCTCACAGACATCACTGGAAAGTTTGTAGTTCGGTCGGATATGTCATAAACAAGTAAAACAATGCACAAGTTACTTAACGGTAGAGAGAGAGAGAGAAAGAGAGAGAGAGAGCACGCACTTCTGTTGTGTGATCTTTGATGTTCACTCACTTAGCACACGCATCATTTGAATTAAAACTAAATCGTAAAAATAAGACCATTTATAGGGGCATTCACTATAAACATAATTTATTTTCAATCTTAGGCATACACGACTTTCTGGCGAAAGTTAATCTAGCAGCCTGTGTGAAATGCGCTAGGCTGTACTATTCTGCATCAGTACAAATACGTGCATGCGTTGCGCGTGTTTTGCTTACTTGAGTGTTTCTGCATTATATGAGTGACTTTGGAATATAAATCGCAGCACGTTTCAAATGGAAAAAAAACTTGACTTCTATTTTTGCAAATATGACAGTTAGGAGATTTATAACGAGTGGTTATTTGCATTATTACAGCAAAGCGCGTGATTACAGTACTGAGCCGCTGCAATGGAGCAGCTCTAATGCTATTAAATTAAAGATGATGTACCACAGAGCAAGTAACACAAACTTGTAAAATACATTTTAGTGGCCATAATTAAGTATGAAAATAGTCGAAGGATATAGAATCAAACCAAAAATTATTCAAAGACCAGATATAATTTTTGATATTTTTTTAGTGGGTGCAGGACACTATAGTTCATTTATGTAAGTGAGGACAGCAAAATAAAGTAAACTGTGATAAATTATACCCAAAAATTCTTCATACAGTGAACTACCAGTAAAACTGATAAAAAATTTGGGACCAAAAATTCAGACAAAAAAATTGAAGTTCAGGTTTGTATGAAGCTGGGTGACAGCATGCCCAGGAGACTGCAGGCTGTCATTAAGGCTAAGGGTTGCCCGACTAAGTATTGATAGTTGTGTAAATACTGTCATACTAACAGCTGTCTGAATAATTTTTGGTTGATTGTAATCCATTACATACCTTTCTATCAAAGTTATCTAACATTATCAAGCTGAATTTGTTCTGACACAGTTTAACTCTGAGTTCTTGTCATATTTTATTACCATTTTCTAAACTATAGCAAATAAACTGAAAATGTTGAAGGTGTCTGAATAAATTTTGTTTTGACTGTATCTATTTGATAAATGAAGTTAACCAACTAACATTATACGTACTCTTGGTTTCTGTACCCAAAATTAAAAAAATTGACAAATGCAATAAAAATATTGGTATCGGCACTCGGTATCGGCAAGTACCAAAAATAAAAGTATCGGTATCGGGCGAATACTGGAAAAAGTGGTATCGGTGCATCCCTACTTTAAATGCAAATGAGCTGCTGCTCCCTGCCCCCTTTCCCAGCTTTTCCAGCTATTGAGATGTGCCATTACAGCTCATACCTGCTAAAAACATCTGCTTTGGTTCTGATTATCATGTTTATTGTGTTGAAATCATGCGTTTCAAACCATATTAGTTTAAACTTCTTATATACGGTTTTCTGAGTGCACATGGACAGAAAGCGGCTGTCACAGCATGTGAGTACTAAACTAAGTTCTCATTCACACACAAGTTTACGTTAAAAACACACATGAGTTACAAAAACAGTCGGTTATGTCTGTGAAGGTAAACAGCTGGGAAATTAATCGCCTATTTATTTTACATCTGTGTGGCAGCAGCAATATACAGTAAATAAATCTGCTTCTCTAAGGCTGGGACTCTAAATAGTGTTCTGTGCTCGTCTGTGCAGCCAAAGACAACAGTTAGCATGTTTTGCTCAAACTTTCGCCATGGCATTAGAACTGGTACACCGTTGTCGCTTGCGAAATCAAAATGACGGCGCTGTGGGTGGAAACTTACAGATTAAGGGGCGGTAATATTATAATGAGATCCCTTTGCCACGTCACCAAGGGAGCAAAATCAGACGCGCTTGTTTTCTCAGACGCTTGCAGAAAAAGGCTTACCAAAACAAAGTTACTGGGTTAATCTTTTTCCCTTTTCCTTGGTTGGTAGATGCACCGGGGACCTGATTATAGCACTTAAAACCTGGAAAAGTCTGATTTTCATGATATGTCACCTTAAATAATAGATTGACATTTTGTTTGTATATTGCTGTTTTCTATCTTCAGGATGCAAGTATTACGGTTGTGGCCAATGAAGCTAAAGATAATGTGAAATATCTATCAACTCTGGACAAGTTTTTTGAACTTTTGGAAAAAAGCACTCCAGTAAGTTCCAAAATTGTATATGTTTTTCAGTAAAAACCGTTACATAACCAAGAGTGCCATTTATGGGTCACTTTAAGTGTCACAGTTTGAGTATTATGTAATTTTAAAACATAAGGAGTTGTGATGGACTGCTTATAATACAGGTGCATCTCAATAAATTAGAATGTCATGATGTTTGTGGCTTACCCTCCTTGTGAAGGGTGTCAATGATTGTCTTCTGGACAACTGTCAGATCAGCAGTCTTCCCCATGATTGTGTAGCCTAGTGAACCAAACTGAGAGACCATTTTGAAGGCTCAGGAAACCTTTGCAGGTGTTTTCAGTTGATTAACTGATTGACATGTCACCATATTCTAATTTGTTGAGATAGTGAATTGGTGGGTTTTTGTTAAATGTGAGCCAAAATCATCACAATTAAAAGAACCAAAGACTTAAACTACTTCAGTCTGTGTGCATTGACTTAATTTAATACACGAGTTTCACAATTTGAGTTGAATTACTGAAATAAATGAACTTTTCCACGACATTCTAATTTATTGAGATGCACCTGTATATTGTCTCTTTTGCGCAAGTTGCATTGGAATATTTCATGTGTAGATATTTGTATTGTTTGTTTCAGACCACCATGCTGAATCAAATTCCCAAACTGATGAACAGCATACACATGATTCAGCGTGTGTCTCAATATTACAACACCTCTGAACACATGACATCGCTCTTTGTGAAGGTCACTAATCAAATGGTGACCACCAGCAAGGCTTATCTCTGCCAAGGGGTGATGAAAATCTGGGACTTGGACAGGTTGGTCTTATGTGAGATGCTGAACTTCATTTCTAAATTTAAATAGACAAAATACATTGGTCTGTGTTCGCATTTAGGAAGGAACTGCTTCAGCGGATGAAAGAATGTATTCAGCTGAACCAGGAGTACCAGCAATGCTTCCACCGAATGAAAGAGAAATTACAGGAGAACCCTCTTGAACGGCAATTTGAATTGAGGTCTGTAAACCATAGCATTAAAGTCAACTTAAGATCAAAATTTAACCCTATATTTACTTTCTTAACTCAGCTCTGCTTTGTCGTACCATCAGTGAAAATTACATATTCGGAAAGTTTGATACATTCTGCAAACGTCTGGAGAAGATAACAGACATGGCCACAACTCTTGAAGATTTTTCAAGCCTGCAGTTTATGAAAGTTGAAGGTGTTGATAAAATATACATGCGCTATCAAACGATTGTTTCCAGCATCAAATCCAAGACCTACAATGTGCTTGACCACCGCAAATTAGAGGTAAGGTCTCTTATGACTGTGTATATTTTGATTTAGTTAAGTGTTTTTTTTTAGACGTGATCCATCTCTCATATGACATGATTTTTTTTTAGTTTGACAATGACTACACTGAGTTCAGAAGACAAATCCAGGGCTTATATCAGTCTCTTGATGCACTGATTGACACTTGGCTTCAACGTCCGCTCATTGTAAGGCCCTTTTAGTCAAGTGAAAGATTTATATTATTAAGTGAACATTTGAATGACTGATCCATTCATTGCAGCTCATGACCAATAGATTACATACATTTTCAGTGTATTCCTCCTACATTGAAAGGAAATGTATTTACTGCCCCCACAGACTCATCAGGTCCTTGACCTGCTGTCCAAATTTGAGAACGGTGTGGGCAGACAAATGGACCTCACCCAAAAGTATATGGTAGTTCTGCAAAGGTATGAATGTGACCTTGAGTTTGTGCGCAAACTCTACCAACGAGAGAAGAACAATCCCTCTTCTGCTCAATTCAAGACTCCTGTAAGTTTCCTGTTGAGTGATCACCAAAGTGCTCAACTCTATTTCATATTTAAATCCTTTCATAAAGAATGCAAACATGAACAATTTACACATATTCAGAATATCCAACACAAAAAAACACTGGGACTACTGTGACTGTTTATTACTGGGACTAAAAATTGTTTTACATTTTCTTTTGCAGTTGGCTAGTAAAATTCAGTGGTCACAAAATCTATTTAAAAAAATTCATTTGCCAATGCAGATCCTAAAAGACAAATTGGACATTATGCAGGTAATTTACAGACAAAATTGTCACATCTCATTAGTAGATTAACACAGTTTATTTGAATTTTAATGAAATTTGAGCCTGAAAAGCACCTTTTAAGAAACTTGTCTTGACTTTAAGATGCCAGAGAGGAGGAAGATTATTCAGGCATACAACAAACTTGCTGCCGTGCTGCTGGAGTATGAAATGATACATCACAAAGCTTGGGTTGATGGTGTGGAACTGGGACTATATGGTCTCAAATCTTCACTGCTGACTAGACACCCAGAAACCAAGGTTAGCAAGTTTATATCACTTCAAAACAGAATTTCAAAAGACATTATTCTTTGGCAAAATGGAACATTACATTTTAAAACAGTTAAAATTACTACAAATTCTAATTTTTAATCTGTTATTATTTATAAAAACCCAAACTATATACTCATAAAATCATAAAACATTTAAGAAATATATTTTATTTTATTTTATTTGATCATTGAATCCTCCATTATTTGTGGATAGGTGTTCTATGTGAATCTTGACCCTCTAGTCCTGGAAGTTTTGCAAGAGGCAAAAAACATGTATACATTAGGTGCTAATGTACCTGATGTTATCTACAACATGGCTGCCAAAGAACCTCAGCTGAAGGAGTATCGTACCAAGTGAGTGCATAAAATATGTACCATTCATTAAAGGAATAGTTCAGCCAAAAATGTTAAAGTTTGTTTCTTCATCAGAACTGATTTGGAGAAATTTAGCATTACATCACTTGCTCACCAGTGAATGGGTGCTGTCAGAATGAGAGTCCAAACAGCTGATAAAAACACTGCAACAAGTGATCCACATGACTCCAGTCTATATGTCATTTAACATCTTGTGAAATGAAAAGTTGTGTTTATAATAAACAAATCTGTCATTAAGATGTTTTAACTTCAAACAAGTCCTCTAACCCAGTGTTTCCCAACCTTTTTTTAGTCGCGGCACCCTTTGGAAATTTTAACAAACTTGTGGCACCCTACAAAATTAATTTTGTCACAATATTTGAATTTCTAACTTCGATATGATAATTTGAAAAGTACAGATATTCGGTACAACAGGGAAGAACTGCAGAATATAATGTCATACAGATATTTTTAATATTATTAAAAAATGTTGTCCATCAATGGTGGCAATCAGTAGGCTAATTTCTAATGAAGAGACCAATTTATATGACACATTTTAATGTAGGCTTTTATACATATGTAAACATTATTTAATTAGCATTATAACTAGCTATCTCACAAATTTTTGCTCACTAATGTTTTTTTTATTTTACAGTGGGGTAATTTTGGTGCAGTAGCACGCGATAGCTTGATTTCAAACTTTGAATTGAATAAAAAAATGACAAGTAAGCAGTCAGTAATAAAATAAGAACAAATAAAGAAATTAATAATGACCGCACAAATAAAAAAAAAAAACGACAGGCCTTCGAATTAAATAAATTGCTTTTTAATTTTTCAGGTAGGTCTAACAGTAGGGTTAAGATATTTAACTTTTGTTTTTATTTTTTTACCAATTATCCAAATAATGTTTAGTCCTAGAAAGCTATTATTATCAGAACACGTGAGCATAACATAGCGGTTAACAGATCAATGAATGAGAGGGCAGCGTTACCAGAGTTGCCCATATACCACACCATGTTACAACACAGTAGGGCTATTGCAGACAGAAACAATACTGTACTACTTCGATGTTTCCTGTCGGCTCAATTTTTGAGTGACCTTTGCTGTTCCGATGAGCATGAACGTTATACGAGTGGAGCGACTGAGCGGAGCACACACGCATAGAGCGGGATATTATGCAGAGTGTCACACCACGTGAAAGTGAAACCTGAGCGGTGAACACATTTTCGGCAGCCGAAATTTTGGTGCATCTCTAATTATTGGCGACACAGAAATGGATATTATATAATAGATGCTTTTTTTTAAACATTTTAGCAATTTAAAAATATAAAAAAATGATTTTTTACACGGCAACCCTGCTCTCGACAGACGGCACCCCGTTTGGGAAACACTGCTCTAACCATAATATTGCTTTCTTCAGCAATATTGAAATGTCTTGTCTGAATTAGGCAAGAAATATGCACAGATCAAGCACCATTTACAAGCAAAAACAGTGCTAAATAAATATGTTGGTGGAATTTGATGTGAGAGGACAACAGAGGATGGACTGTCACTGGAGAAAGTGTTTTTATGGATATTTTTGACAGAAGTGAAGGTTTAAATTTAAAGTGGATTATTGTGATGTTTTTGTTAGCTGTTTGGACTCTCATTCTGACGGCACCCATTCACTGCAGAGGATCCAATGGTGAGCAATGTAATGCTACATTTCTCCAAATTTGTTTCAATGAAGAAAAAAGACAAGAAAACATCTACATTTCGGATATCCTGGGCGTGTACATTTTGAGCAAATTTTCATTTTTGAGTGAACTACTCCTTTAAAATTACAGTGATCATGCTAAACCAGTAATTTTTTTACCTTATTTATGCAATATTGTATAAAGCAGTGCTATTTCTGTGGCATGTATAGTCACTGCCTATGAAGTGTTTCAAATCAGATTCTATGATGGTTAGGATCAATGTTATCATTAGACAGCAAGACATCCTACTCATGAACAAACAGGCATAAATTATTGATCTAAATTGAAATATAAGGTTAATACATACAGTACATTAATATCACTGCTCTCAGATTACAGGAGATGCTAAGCAACTTTGATGCAGTAGTCAAGAGGATACCCAGTGTGCTACAGTCCCCAATGAAGCCCTTCATCAGATATGTGGAGACTGCTCTCTACCCTGGACTGACTATTCTCTCATGGACTTCCCTCAATATTGACCATTGTAAAAACAAAAACAAAAAGAAACCTTTTATCTTTAATGCTGTTTTTGGTTTGCAAATGTTTACAAGGGCCCCAAAAAAGTATTTGGACACTGAAGTCACACTTTAAAAATCTGAATTTCATTGTAAACAAAATATTAATATCATTCCACTAAATAATGTTTGTGTTTATAGAATGACATTAAGTGACCTACTGTAGAGTGTATTAACCTGCAGTGTTTATGTGGCCAGTGAGGAGTGTCTTAGAGTTTGGGAAATCTTTTGAAGTTAATTCTATTCAATGTTTAATCCTACCTTGGTACCTAAGTCTTTTCCCATTGTTTCTCAGTCATAGGCTGTGTGTACAAAGCACTGCAAGAGCTGGAGCAAGTAGTGAAGGTTGTTATGGATATTCTGGAATGTCGAATCGAGTGCACCTTAGAATCCATGGGTTCCACCAGTCTGCTGACACTGCCCAAAAATCAGCCAGTTACACCTGAGATGTTCCTCACCAATACAGAGACCACTATCAACACTGCAAGACAAACTATGAAGATGTGAGTGACACTTTCATTATCTTTTATCACAGACTAGTATGGTGTAAACAGCTATATTTAATTTGATGGCTACAAAGGCAGACTGTTCAAAAAGTTCCTCTGAAAATTTTGCTGAAAATGTACTTAACCTCAAGCCATCCAGCATGTAGATGAGTTTATGTAGTTAGCATTACATCACTTGCTCACCAATAGATCCTCTGCAGTGAATGGGTGCTATCAAAACAGCAGATAAAAACATCACAATAATCCACAAGTTTTTATCAGCTGTTTAAACTCTCATTCTGACAGCATTCACTGCAGAGAGAATCCATTGTTTTTTGATAGTATAGTATCAAAACATACTATTTAGTAGGGCTGCCCCCTACTAGGCGACTAATCATTAGTCGACTAGAAGAGGCTTGGTCGACCAAAATTTTATTAATCGCTTAGTCGCAGAAAAAAAAGGCGAAGTCACGCAGTCCGTGACAGGCAGATCGTTAACGGCTGGTCTATGTGGTGATACAGTACATCGGGCAGGACATCCAAATGCTCACCTATTATCAACCTCAAATATGACTTATCTTAAATATGTAAGTATTAGCAACTTTACATGGCCACTCAATCTAATGTTTACCTAGAGTGTGATGTGGAGTGTGGAAGCTGAACAGTAGCTCACTGCAGGACAGATGGAGGCGCTTTTGTAAAATAATGAAAGCAAACAGGATGCGCTTTCTGCCGTCTCGGTCTCTGTGAACTCGAGCGCAAAACTCCGTGTATATCTTTGCCTTACAGACATTAAAAATATAGCTGTAAAAAAAATATAGCTCTATCTATAGAGAGTGAAATGTCTACTTTCAAATGAACCAATTCAAATGGAAAACAAATATTCTCAGATTATGTAATCCGTATGAAACATGCATACAGGTGCATCATACTGTGGAGATGACAAGTCAGTTGTGTCGCCGACTTCATCTCTTAAACCGAAAACAAAGAAAGCACTAGTTTATCAACAAGTTATTAAAATGTTAATGCAGTCTCCTTACTGTTTTTCCCTGGCACATTCATAATAATTTTTTCTGCCGGTGCGCTGTGGCAAGCTTTACGCGTGCGCTTGAGCGCATATTAGGCTATGTAGGCAATTAAAGGTTCATTATAATGATTTAAATGGTTTATTAATAAACATAAGAATAGTCGACTAATGCTTAAAATTAACGACTACTAGTCGACCAGAAAAATCCTTGGTCGAGGGGAGCCCTACTATATAGTATATAGCAGTGGTTCTCAAAGTGTGGTATGAGTACCACTAGTGGTACTCAGGCTCCCTTTAGTGGTACGCAGAGGAATCACTAAATTAAATATAAATGAATGTTAAAACACAATACATTTCAATTTAATCTTTATTTATTATTTTTTTACATTTAGGTACAGTACAGTTTTTATTTAACTTTTAGGTCATTTTAATTTAATCATTATTTATAGTTATAGTTTATTATTTACCTGTATGTAAGCACAGTGCAGTGTTAATGTTCAAACTATGTATTTACAATGTTAAAGTGGCTGACAAAATTCAGCCTATAATATTCCTATAATATAGGAAACTGCCTCATTTTTAAACTGTCCAGAGCTGTAGCTGAATAGGTAGGCCTACTACGCTACTGTATTTTAATGTTGGTCATTATGGTGGTACTTGGAGAGCCAAATATTTTCTGAGGTAATACTTGGCATACAAAGTTTGAGAACCACTGGTATATAGTATCCTGACTGAGGTCCATAGTTAAATCTGATTTAAAATGGTAATTTGAGGATTCCTTTATTTTCATTCAAGTGCAAGCAAGCAGGTGGAGAGCTCAATGATGGAGATGGTTGAAGAACTGAAGAGAGTGCTGAAACCTTCAGAAAGGGTCAACTTGGAGGTGCTGTAAACATCAGTTATGAAGGCTTTATTGTTATTTATAATTATAAAACACTTTTTAGCACTTGATTAGATGGGTTGTAGCTCGTTATGTGTGATATTACTGCTATAAACGGTCACACTACACACAATAAGTATAGTTTTCTGAGAAAATCTTGATGTGTATGTTTAGAACTACAAATGTCTGCATCCTGATGCCAAGCAGAAAACACGTTGTCTATGCTGCCTGCCATGTGCTTTCTATATCATGATGGGACAGTTATGTCAGAAGAACACAGAGGCCCTGGTCAGAGGTATACATGCATTATGGAATCATGCATCAGAGTTTCATCTGAAAATCGAGAACCTTACTTGTATCACCTTTTTGAGTCATTCATTAATGTTGTGTTCTTTATTTGAAAGCTACCAAATGCTCTCTGGATTCTCTGTGGCGTCGGCTGCTTGTTGTGAGCTCCAAGTATCGTTCTTCATCTCAAAGTGAAGCTGCTGTTCAGTTTCCTCTTTTTAAAGTTTCTGTTGAGCTGGCCATTCCCAACATTGTCTTCAGACCAAGTTTCGAACAGATACAGGTAATGACGTGAAAACAACGAGCATAATATCAATATGTAAAGTATACTTGCACTTCTGTTCAAAGCTTTAGGGGTTCTATTCAAATAAACAGTTATTTTTTTACTTTCTTTTTGTCAAGAAATCCTGAAAAAAGTATCTTGATTTCCACAAGCTGTATACTTGCACTTCTGTTCAAAGCTTTAGGGGTTCTATTCAAATAAACAGTTATTTTTTGACTTTCTTTTTGTCAAGAAATCCTGAAAAAAGTATCTTGATTTCCACAAGCTGCACAACTGTTTTCCACATTGATAATAATAATAAGAAATGTTTCTTGAGCACCAAATCAGCATAGTATAATTATTTCTGAGGGATCATTTTACACTGAAGCCTGGAATAGTGACTGGTGAAAATTCTGCTTTTTTTATTGCAGGAATATTTCGTATTTTACAATACATTCCAACAAAAAACAGCTATTTTAAATTGTGATAATATTGTCCTGTTTTTACTTTTTGATCAAGTAAATACAGCCTTGGTGAGCACAAGCAAAGTCCCTTTCAAGGGAAGTCTTTTCACTCTTCGGCCATATTTGCCTCCGGGCAGCTCATCCAAGACCAAGTCCTGTCTAAATGAATTTGGGAATCCTGAAATCTCAATAACTGCCCGACTCACAATTTAATTACATATTTCAAATCACCATCAAAATCTGAAAGGAACTGCCCCATGAATGTTGTTTCTTATGCTCAAAGTGTTAAAAAAAGCGTATTTTTCAGGCTAGACCAGCCTATGCGCATGCATGGTTGTAAGCGCGAGTCTCCGGTTTATATCAGAACCGGAGCTTATAAAAGCTGCTGCAGTGACGCAGTGACTTTACCAATCAGCGATTGGCTCTTTCGTTTAGAATGCAGGACTATTCCACCATATTGCGTGTTGCAGTTTCTCCCATTCATAAGTATAGGAGTGAACCGTCTTTGTATTTCTATAGTCTTTGGCACAAGAGACTTCTTTCAAAATCATTACCAACCCCAAACCTTTTAACAGTTGTGTATACAGTATACTGTATATACATAAAACACAAGCACAGAATAATAAGATGTGTGAATAATAAGATGTGGTTTGATTGACACTCATAGGCCCAATCCCATTTCTACCCCTTAGCTCTTCCTCTTTCCCCTACCCCTCGTTTTTGCGCGTTCACGTGAAGGGGTAAGGGTGTCTCGATTCTCTTTTGGTTGGAGGGGTAGGGGTAAGGGGAAGAGCCAGATAGCCCTTCAAATTAAGATTTTTTTGGGACCACACTTCAAATGAAGGGGTATGAATTATCTCAGTGCTAACCGGCTACAGCGGCAACATGGCTGCCCGAGCGAACAAAAAGACACATAAATGTAAGCATTATTGGCATTAATAAAGATTTTAATGAAAAGTAATCATTTGTTTTGTTACATTCAATCGTGTGTTCATATATGGTCATGTTATTCAAATAAATTTTTGCAAAAAAAACGCAAAAATTTGCTAACGTCATATCATTACAGACTGCACGATATTGCCACAGCATATCTGATCAGGGCGATAACCACCATAGACATTGAGGGGGTCTAGTCTCCCCAATAATTAGAAATCGCTAAGCTTTTTTCTCAAATACCTATTGCCAATTCGAGAGAGAGAGAGAGCGAGCGCTTATGTGCGTCTCTCTTTACAATGAGTGAGTTTACTTCAAAAACAGCGATTTTATCCTCTCATTGCTGGAAAATATAATGTAGCGATTCAGTATTTAAACTGTTATTAATAAAAGTTGTGGGGCAGCGTTGACAAGTTTCTTTGCTTCTGGATGTGTGAGCTGCGCGATCTCCGATGTGTGTCAGTAAGCAGCGCATTAATATAGAATGGTTAGGCTCTAATGCACACCAGCACACCAGTAGCCTATAGGTGTATGTATTGTAGGAGCTAGATGACGTGTGACGGTATAGTAGTGGTGTCCCAATTCTTAGGGGAATATTTTCAACCCTACCCCTTGACACTCTGTTTCAAGGGACAAGGGGAAGGGGTATAAATTAGAATTGGGATTGGGTCTTAGTGTGTATTTATAAACCATCAGAAACGGACATCTTCATGTGTATACATATTTATATGAAGTAAATTCTAAAACTTTAGATTTATTCCTAATCACTCATTTGTCCTTGTTGTGCAGGGCATTCTCAATAAAGCTGTGAACATGGTGCTTTCAATGGCAAAGGATGTTCCACTCTGGAAATTTTCCCATGTCCAACAAGAACAACTGGAGGTAAGAGAATTAAAGGGGTGACCTGGGTTAAGTTAAGTTTAGCTTATCAATACAATGCCTCACAGACTTCCATTGTCCATGGAAAGTGCTTCAATGTACACTTGATTTTTGCTTGTTTTTACACCCTGATAGTTACAAAATTATCCTGTGGTAGTTACTGGCATGTGACAGATGTGTTCTGACCTTTATCAGAGGTTAGTTAGCTGTAGAAGTCTTGTGACTCCACAGGCAGAGCAGGCAGCAGCGCGTGAGCTTGGAGATGAGACTCTAGTCACTAAACCACTCGTGCTGAGGACTCTGGACAGACAGGTGACAGAACATAAGGATGTGAACAAGGCTTTGTCCCAGCTTGTCCCTGTGGTGTCCTCTCTCAAAGCAGATGCTGGGGACATCCTGAAAGGGTTGTCTCAATTTTCAGCCCTGTGGAAACAGGTATTTAGCAAAATCTCTGTCTCTCTCTCTCTATAGATATGTAGTGTGTCAGTAGGAAATATCAGTTTACGTTAATTTTGCCATTAATTGTAATAATCCAGTGAGATTTTTGTTTGCACATGGAGTCTGACAACAGCCAGTGCTCCACACAGAGATCTGATCTCATCAACATCCAGTCTGTCTGGAACAGAAACAGAACAATCTAAGTGTTACGTCTCCCTAATTATCTGGCGTCTAGGGTTTTTGGGAGGTAACACAAAACGTTTAATAAATAAGAAGATATTTAAGCTAAAACACTTTTCTCTGCTATGGAGGTGCAGTGTGTGCAATTAAGAAGCAGGCAGAGACAAAACTGAATATGAATTTTGCGTTTAGTAGAGAAATAAGTCAATATTACAAAGTTCCCAATAATAATATAAACAAACCCAAAATACCTTTGAAAAAACCCAACAAATATCTATTTACAAATTATATGCAAACGTAATGAGTTAAAGACAACAGAAGTGAGGGACAAGAGCGGTGCTAAAGAAAAGAAAAGAAAAGAATAAAACATAAACACTCTAACTAGCACCAAACAAAAGCAAGCTAAAGAAAATAACTTCTTCAGCGTAGAATGCCCCTAACTACACTGACTGACAAACATAAATACAGAAGTTGGCATCCGCTCATAAACTAGTGTGACAACTTAGACAACTTTACCCTGCGTGTAGTAAGACATGCTGCACTGGTCCCATCACTAAGTGTCGAAAAAGGACTTGAATAAGCTCGGGGAAAACCGAGAGTAAAGTCACAGCGTTAACACAGTTAAATAGCCACTGAAAAGTAAAGTTTCACAAGAGAAAACTCAAACACACAATAACTCAAATTCAGAAACAAAAACAGGAGCAAACACCAAAGAAAACGTGGGAGAGCAAACGCTCCTCCCGAACTTGCGTCACATCCGGGTCTTTATACGCGCCCACTAACGTCTGATTGGTCCTCAAAGCATTGTGTAAAATTGATGATTGACAGAAGCATGGTCCAATCACAGGTCCTGTGAGGTGAGAGTGAGAAAAAGGAGAAAACATCCCTCCCAGAACAATACATAAACAGAATAAATCCAGAAGAACTGTGGCAACATCTCAAATGGCGCTTTTCCACTGCATGGTACGGCACGGTATGGTTCACTTTTTGGGGGTTTTCCACTGGGTACAGTACCTGGTACCTGGTAATTTTTTTAGTACCACCTCGGTTGGGGTTCCAAGTGAACCGTACCGTTACCAAAATGTGACGTGTGAACTCTGCTGATCACGGATTGGCCGGAGAGAATCGTCACTACCTGCGTCACTGAACTTGTGACACAAACACAAAAGAACCGCCAGATTTAAATCAGCACAGCCAGCGAAGGATCGAACACAACTGTTTTGAACGAGCGCACCTTTTTTTAACAACCAAAAAGTTTTGTTGTCTGTTGCGGAAGAACAGACATTCCTCTCGTTGATAGCAGAGGAGCGGATCCAGCGAGAGCTTGATGGGGCGACACAGAATGAAAAAGTTTTTTTAGGAGTCGTGGTAGTAGAGGCGGCGCAACTATAACGACATGTGAATAATCCTGCCCACTCTAAAGCGGTACTGAACTGAAGTGGAAACGCAAACCGTGCCGAGCCGAACCGTGCCGTGCCGTACTGTGCCGTGCCGTACTGAGCCGTGCCGTGCCAAGCCGAGTCGTACCACTCAGTGGAAAAGCGCCAAAAGATGCTTCAAGAGACCCACATGCAAAGCTACCTGAAAAACTATGCACAAGTGCACCTAGGGCAAAAGCTGCTTTAAACGCAAAGGATGGTCACACCAAATGTTTTAATTTAGTTCATAGAAGTTAATTGATAAAGAAAATATATTTATGACATTATTTTTGACAGCATCCTCATTTTACAGCATTTTTACACAAGTGCCTAAAAGTTGTTAACAGTACTGTAGCTTTGCTACAGGTAGGTCTCTTGAAGCATCTTGGAGATGTTGCCACGGTTCTTCTGGATTTAGTCTGTCTCTTTTTGTTCTGTTTCTTCATGTCATTCCAGACAGACTGGATGATGATGAAATCAGATCTCTGTGTGGAGCACTGGCTGTTGTCAGACTACTTGTGCAAACACAAATCTCACTGGTTTATTACAATTAATGGTAAAATTAATGTTTGGAAATGTAAACTGATAATTCCTACTGACACACTACAGCAAAAGAAAGAAATAACTGACAGAACCATTTTTAGCTGGTGAAAATATTACTCTTCTCATAATTTTGGCCACCACTGTATATATATATTATAATATAATTATATTAAATATGTAAAAACTAATTATATATATGATTTAGGAGTGAAATATGATCCAGACATGTTTATGACAGGCACATACACATTGTGTAGCATCAGGACATCAAAATGTGTGACATTTCATGCTTTCCTCCAATCTAGGACCCAGCAGAACAGGTGAAAGTATTTTTGGAGACCAAACCATTATTGTCAGAATTCAGCGGCCAACTATCTCTGTATTCTGTACGTAATTTTTAAATAAGTCTTATGAAATTTGAAGATAACTGCAGTCTAACTAAGAGTGATCCTAAATTCCACTACATGTATTTGATTAGACATTTGAGACCCGGATTCAAGAGCTTCCTTCCACTTGTACTGTCTGCCCCATCCTCTACGAAACTGACTCCCTCAAACTGTCCCTCGTTCAAGAGTGTCGCACCTGGAAACGTGCATTTGGTGTGGCTCTAAACCAAAAGGCCTCTGTGGGCATGGCTGAGATTAGCTCTTTTGTGGATGGGGTGAGCAAGCAGCTGCAGAGGCCAATTTCTGACCTGGATGACGTGAGAGAAACCATGGGCGCCCTGCAAGAGATACGAGAAGCGGAGATACGGATAGAGACCACCAGAGGACCGGTGGAGGAATCATTCGCTCTGTTAAATCGCCATGAGCTGTTCTTCAATGATGGAAATGCGGAAAAGATTGATGGGGTTGTCTACGCTTGGAAGGAACTTAATGTGATGGTAAAAGACGTTTTTTGAGACCACATGAAATAGTATTAAAATACATGGTAGTTTATTCTCTTTATTTTTTCTACTTTGTCTCATCAAAGAAGTAGAGAATCACCTTTACCTTGTCTTCTTGGGATTTAGGTTTGTTTGTAAATGTATGTTGATCTGTTTTTAATTTGAAGGCAAAAGAAACACAGAATAAGCTTTTGGAAATTCAACCTCAAATGAAGGCTGAGCTTGTAGCTGGAGTTGAGGTCTTCCAGCAATCTGTAAAAACGTTCTATGCTGACTATGACAACAGGTTAATTTGCATATTAACTTCATGCAGTTTCTTACATACCTCTTAGTGATTATAGTGTCTTAATAAAGCTTCTGTTTTTGTGTTCAGTGGTCCTGGAGTAACAGGTTTGGCCCCACGTGAAGCCAGTGACAGGTTGCAAGTTTATCAGGCCAAGTTTGATGAACTGTGGAGGAAATTCGTCACCTTTTCTAGTGGAGAAGAACTGTTTGGCCTCCCTGTTACAGGTGCTTCTGTATTTCTTTTTACCTTGTTAATGTGGGTTTAGGTTCAGAAAGGACAGGGAAGATGCCATGTTTACTTTGATTTGAATGAAAATGAGGCTGTGAGGGACAGACATGTAATCTGGTCAACGGTTTATACTGCCTTATGGTTCTGGATGTAATGTTCAATTTTCTATTTGTCATTTTTGTCAACTGGAAATTTTGAATGTTTTGTCATCTAAATGATTGACACCAGGGTATACAACAGTACAACCCACTGTAAGATTTTAGTGTTTTTTTGAAAGTCACACAGTAATATTGTGAAATACTCTTACAATTTTAAATAATTTCTAAATTTTAAAATGTAATTTATTCCTGCGATGGCAAAGCACATGATCCTTCAGAAATCATTCTAATATGCTGATTTGGTGCTTAATAGACATTTTTTATTATCAGTGTTGAAAACAGAAAACAGCTGCTTAATGTTTTTTGTGGAACCGTTTCCCTTGATTCTTTGATGAATAGAATGTTCAAAAGGACAGAATTTGAAAAGAAAATAGAAATCTGTTGTAACATTCTAAATGTCTTTTTTGCCTCTTGCTGAATTTCATGCATCCTTGCTGAATGAAAGTATTAATTTCTTTCTTTTTTCTCCTTTCAGAATATCCTGATCTTCACAGAATCAAACGAGAGCTCAACCTTTTGTCCAAGCTGTACAGCCTCTACAATTCTGTGATTGACAGCGTTTCTGGCTACTACGACATACTATGGGCTGACCTCAATATAGAAAAGATAAACAGTGAACTGCTGGATTTTCAGAATAGGTTTTTATGATTTTACCTTTCTAACTAATCTAATTAATAAATATTTTATATTGAATGACGTAAATTTGAGTGCATATTTTGTAATTCTTTTCAAGGATCCGTAAGCTGCCTGGGGCCCTGAAGGAGTGGCAAGCTTTTAATGACCTGAAAAAGACCATTGATGACTTTAATGAAACCTGTCCTCTACTCTACATGATGGCAAATAAGGTGATGTTAAGCAAGCATCTGTTCATTCACACATATTGCATTTATACTAGGGGTGTAACGATTCACTCGTTTTATCGATGCATCGATTACAAACCCTGACGATGCATATGCATCGATCTTGAAGCATGATTTTTGAATCGTGAATCGCCGATTTCGGACAGTAATCGATTTAAAACACTAAGAATCAAATGAATCGTGATTTCTATAGTGATTCAATGCTTTCAAAATATATACACATTAAATTACAACAAGCACGAATTAATTGAGACCTTGAACAGTGTTCGTGCCCTCGCATCTCTCCTTCACGCGCTCCACTAACCGCCTGTGACTGTCACAGGATTGTGCTCGCGCTCCGTTCGTCTTACTGGCACATTTTTTGAGCAACTGATGTGTGATCTCTCCTTAGTACTCGTGGCCAGTAATGCTAAAGTGAAGTAGTTTTACTTTTCTGTCGAAGGCTGCGCATTTATTGCATGGCGGGAGCAGAAATGTAAGTGTCTAAAGCATACGCACAGTTCCATTGAATGATACATGTTTTTTAACAATGTTGTTGAACCGAATGTACGAAGGAAACTATTAAAATAACCACAGCATTAACGACAATCTTGAAATAAGAGAGCGAGGTTTATCTGATAATCAGATGCATGAAAGTAGCGTTCGTTGCTATAGCAAACAGACATCGGGTGCGTTTTCTTTCAGAATCATCATTTGCCGATGGAGAGGAAAAGTTAAATACTATAGCATTTTATTTTATGAAAAATAGATAAAGAAGTTTTCGCACTGAAAGAGAATTGATCACGCGCTCATAGAACTTAAGACGTGCCAGGCTATATCTGCAGCTAATGTGAATAAAAAGCAGAATGAACTGATGAAACGTTAAGACAATAAACACAATAAATAAATAACATTTATGAATGATGCAGTGCTAATTGACATATCATTTATTACAGTACACAAACTATAAAGTATATTTTCTACCTTATTCTGTACAGAAAATTTAAATAATTGTTTGTAGTATATAAAACAATCATAAAATTGTCATTAGGAAAAAAATTATAGATTACAAATGATTGATTATTGTCCAGCAGTGTATTTGATTTCTTATAGCAAATTCAAAGTAATAGATAAGAAAAGAATTCCTTGTAAAAAAAAAAATGACATACATAAAATTATTGTATTTGACATTTCTGTCACTTCTGAAATGATGGCTACACCCCTGGTGTGACAAAATGCCTATACATAATACTTTTAAAGCTCTTTTTTTAAATCTTGCCTTACATGCATTTTTACGTGTGCCATGTCATGCCATAGCATCATTAAACTAGCATCTAACAATGGACAAAAGTGTTTTTTTCCCCTCTAACCTATGGTTCTGTAACCATAAAGGCTGGTGTGTAATTTGCCCCCTGACTAAGCATTTAAAGAATTTAGGGGAAGTATTTAAATAATCCTGTGAATGCACTTAAAGAATGCAGAATCGAATTGTTATAATCGAATCGAATTTAATTGTGAATCGAATCAAATTGAATCGTTCTAAATTTGCTAAAATCGTTCTTGAATCGAATCGAAAACCTGTGAATCGAATCGAATCGCTGTCTACCCAAAGAGTCACAGCTCTAATTTATACACAACAAGCAAACTATTTTTTTATTAACATACACATTCTTTAATTAACATACAACTAGGCAATGATGCCCCGACATTGGCAGCGCTTAACTGATCTTACCGGCCACAAGTTTGAAGTGGAAGCTGCAAATTTTAGCCTTCGAAATATCATGGAAGCACCTCTACTACAGAACAAAGAAGATATTGAGGTATTGTGCTGGCAAAATATTCCATTTAACATAACCTTAATGGTTTGAGTCAGATTGATTGCATGAAAAAGCACAATGCTGTCAGTATCTTATGAAAACCCTCTGGGTGCCAGGATGTGTGTATCAGTGCCGTTAAGGAACGAGACATTGATGCCAAACTCAAAGATGTTGTGACTGAATGGAGCAGCCATCAGTTCACATTCGCATCATTCAGGTCAGAGAAGGAATTAATCTGTAATTAAATTAATTAATTTGCCATAAAATCAATTCATTCCAAAAAAAAAACAACTTTCAGGAATCGCGGAGAACTGCTGCTGAAGGGATCGGACACCTCTGAGAAAGTGGCCTTAATGGAGGACAGTCTTATGGTGCTTGGATCTTTAATGAGTAACAGGTATTTTGTGTTACTCATATGTGTATATATATGTGAGTGTGTTTATATGTATGGTGGTTAATAGGCATGCTGCGATAGATGGTGCTGACGGTGATACCGTTGTTAAGCCGCAACACCGGTTACGTTACTTGCACACCGTGGCACCGACCCCCACCGTCATTTAGATTTTTTATAGTAATAAAAATAATTTCGTTCAGTAAAAGAACAGATACTACAATTAAAAACTGAATGCGGCTGCTCAATGTAGCGTGCCGAACGACAGTCGCATCACAGATCGGATTTCATTTATCCAGTGAGGAGAGTGAGTCAAGCTGACTGACAAGAAGAGTGGGGTGAGACAGACAAGACGATGGCGGATGATTTAATTTCTAAACGAAATGCAAAAGCGCCTATTTGGCAGTATTTTGGATTTTGAAAAACCTGTTGACTTTTGCCGTTTATCTAAGGTGATTTTGGAAGTTTTTTTAAACATTAGTTTCTTATTTAATTGGTTCCACAGTGTTTGCTGATTTTTACTTTATTTAAACTTTGTGTAATTTATTTATTTTATTTGACATCAAGGTGTATGCCGTGCCTCCAAGCTTTCTTATTCGTTTTGCTAATAAACGTCCTACGTTTCTTATTTATTTGGTTCTATATTATAGGCTACATGTTAACTTATTTCCAGTTTTGTATACCTATTTAAACTTTATGTAAGTTATCTGTTATTTTATATTAGGCATATCCTGCCCTATAGCATGGTGTATTTTTATTTGTTTTGTTAATAAAAGTTCTATGTTTTATATATAGGCTAAAGTGAGTTTGACATTGTATTTTGTTGTTGCATTCAAGCAATTGATGCCGAATTGCTGCTAATTCGAAAGTGAAAGTAAAATGCACACAGCGCTTTTAAGCTATTTAATGGAACACTCCACTATTTTTGAAAATAGGCTCATTTTCCAACTCCCCTAGAGTAAAACATTTGAGTTTTACCGTTTTCGAATCCATTCAGCCGATCTCCGGGTCTGGCAGATGCACTTTTAGCTGCAGCTTAGCATAGATCATTGAATCTGATTAGACCATTAGCATCTCGCTCAAAAATGACCAAAGAGTTTAGATATTTAAATAGAGTTAAAATAGTCCCCAGCTAGGTAACTTCCAACGGAAGGCATGCTCCCTGTGCAAGCAGGTGGTCACGTTGGTTATATTGGCGGAAGTTAGCCTATTTTCAGGCGCTGCGTAATATCATTGCGCCTGCTGCACCCATGGTACGGCAGCAAAGTTCCTTGATTATTACGCCGGAATGAGAGTATAGTTCCTAGCCATATCGGTCTAGAAAATCGCAACTTTTAATTTTCCGTCGGTCTTAGTACACAATGTAACTACAGAAGAGTCAAGTTTTAAATAGGAAAAATATCGAAACTCTTAGGTCATTTTTAAGCGAGATGCTAACGGTCTAATCAGATTCAATGATCTATGCTAAGCTACAGCTAAAAGTGCTACCGCCAAACCCGGAGATCGGCTGAATGGATTTGAAAACGGTAAAACTCAACTGTTTAACTCAAGGGGATTTGGAAAATTAGCCTATTTTCAAAAATAGTGGAGTGTTCCTTTAAAAGCAAAGGAAAGTGAGGAAAAGAGGGAAAATTCAAACAAACAATTGCTTTACGCCGTATTGCCGCTATTTGAAAGTGAAAGTAAAATGCGCACGCCGCTTTTACAAGCTATTTAAAAGCGAAGGAAAGCAAGGAAAAGAGGGAACGCCCCTGCCCCCATGGTGATATCGGTATTATCCGTGTTTATCACACGTCGATTAACCGGTGGGAAAATTTCCTCACCGTCACAATCCCTAGTTAATACACTGGCAAAATATATCCCATGCAAATTTGATATTGTATTTCATTACAGTTTGATGTAAATTTGATTTGAATTTTTGTTTCAGATATAATGCTCCATTTAAGCCCACCATCCAGCAGTGGGTGCAGAAGTTGTCAAACAGTTCAGAGGTGATTGAGAAGTGGCTCACAGTGCAAAATCTGTGGCTGTACCTGGAGGCTGTGTTTGTGGGTGGAGACATTGCCAAACAACTGCCACAGGTAGCATGAATCCAAATACATTATCCCTTCTTTCTTAACCTTGTGAGCGGTCCACTACCAACAAGGCAGCTACCTTCTAAGGGGCTGTTTACACAAAACATGTTTTTCCATTCCACTGTGGTATTTTTCCATCGGACCATTGCACTCATATTGTTTCAGCATATGGCGCATGACACAGCATTCTAAAAACGTAACTCTCAAATTAAGCTCAAGTCAAACTTTCAGAAAACGTGTCTCGAGACCTTGTGTTTTTTTCCTATTTCACTGCCAGCGTCTTGAATTTTTGCTTAAAAAAAAAAAACAAATTGTGTGAATGACCTCCAAAGCAGTAAAGTCTCTTTTAACACTCACTTGCATGCATTGCACAAAAAGCTCTTCTCATGATGTGACGCACACGAGATAAGTGCAACATGATACATAAGTGCAAAGAATAGATATTATGTGGAATAACCTTTTTTTTATTATTATATTGAACTATTTTTTATATTTAAAATTTCTGAAAATGTACTCTCTACAGGAGGCTAAACGCTTCCAAACCATCGACAAATCATGGCAGAGGATAATGCAGCGGGCACATGAGATTCCTGGTGTCATTCAGTGCTGTGTCGGGGACGAGACACTGCAGCAGCTCCTGCCGCACCTTCTGGAACAGCTGGAAGTGTGTCAGAAATCTCTGAGCGGATACCTGGAAAAGAAACGCCTTGTCTTTCCACGGTTCTTTTTTGTCTCTGACCCTGTCCTGTTGGAGATACTGGGTCAGGCATCTGACTCACACACCATACAGGTGCGTTTATCTAACTTTGTTATTATGCCATATAACAGTTCTCATGTATTTATGGTCATTATAAGCAGCATTTAGTAAATGTTAAAAATGTGACATGGGTTGCTCATACTTTGTTTATACAATGTACTATATAATACTGTACATTCAAGCTAGTAAAATACAGCAGGTAATAAATGAGAAAATTCCTCATTAACCTCCTTTTTTCAATTTTTTTCTGCTTTTCAGGGTCACCTGTTGAACCTTTTTGATAATGTGAACAGAGTTGTGTTTCATGAGAAAAACTATGACCAGATACTAAGCTTTCAGTCACAAGAAGGGGAAACAGTGAATCTGAGTGAACCAATCAATGCCCAGGTACAACATTTCTGAGATTACATTTAAATGCCTTAAATGGCATAAAAAATGCTTAATTGTAGCATTAAAAATGATACCTCAAATTATGTGGAGAGGTGTGATATCACCTTAAGTTATTGGGGTTTATGGTTTCTGCCTGATGGTTGATAAAACTGGCAGAAATCCCGTCTACTGATAATGAAGATAGTTAATGATGTCACCCCACAGGGTAATGTAGAAGCCTGGCTGGGTCTGGTCCTGGATGGAGTCAGGAAGACCATTCACAACATTATACGACAGGCTCATATGGTTATTACTGACCAGGGCTTTAAACTGGTGGAGTTCCAGTCGATGTTCCCTGCTCAGGTTGGGCTGCTCGGCATACAGCTCATCTGGACCAGAGATGCTGAGGAGGCTCTCTGTAATAGCAAGACTGACAAAAAGGTTTAAATTGAGTCCTTGTGTTGGTGTTTCATGTCATATTTAAAATCAGGATGTTGTAGTTTATGAATGGACAGCTTTCTTCCCCCATCAATAAGTTTTATTCAGTATATACTGCATGTTCTGTTACAGTCTGACATTATTTTGGAGGATTTTTCCCATATTTTGTTGATCATTTTGTCTTTTTTGTACAGATAATGCAGACTACTAACCAGAACTTCCTGGATCTTTTGAATGAACTGATTGATATGACTACTCACGATCTGACCAAGATGGAGAGAACCAAATATGAGACGCTCATCACAATACATGTTCACCAGAAGGACATTTTTGATGATCTGGTGATTAATTTTTGGGATCTTTGGTGTAAATTGGTTGCTATGTATCATTCTCTTGAAATAGCTTTATACTTACGGACCAAATTGAAGACAGTCTACTATACACTATCATTCAAAATTGAAATATTTATTTTCTTATGTTCACCAAGGCTACCTTTATTTGATCACAAATATAGTAAAGCAGTAATATTGTGAAACATTATTATAATTTGAAATCACGGTTTTCTATTTGAATAATTTTAAATATGTCATTTATTCCTGTGATGCAATGCTGAATTTTCAGCATCATTACTCCCGTCTTCAGTGTCACATGATCCTTCAGAAATCATTCTGATATGCTGATTTGCTGCTCAAGAAACCTTTATAATAATAAATAATATTAATTTTTTTTCTGCTTATTTTTGTGGAAACCCTCATATAATGCATTTCAGTATTCTTTAATGAATAGAAAATTCAAAAGTACATTTATTTGAAATAAAACCTGCAGAACCCTGTACAAGACTAATTTATTTCACTTATAACCTTCACATTGCCTTTTTATGTTCCACTCAAGGTACGAATGAACATCCGGTCACCTTTAGACTTTGAATGGCAGAAACAGTCACGCTTCTACTTCAAAGAGGATACAGATAGATGCATAATCCAAATCACTGATGTGGAATTTGATTACTGTAATGAGTATCTGGGCTGCACTGATCGTCTGGTGATCACACCTCTCACTGACAGGCAAGTGTAGATATATTGAAGCCATATTCTTGAAACTAAGTCAGCATCAGCAAAATGGCTCTTAATGAGTAGCACCCATTGTCTTCAGTGCATTAACCACCTGTTTATTTTTTTTGGTTTGTTTATTGCAGATGTTATATCACGTTGGCCCAGGCTTTAGGGATGAGTATGGGAGGGGCCCCGGCTGGCCCTGCTGGGACAGGAAAAACTGAAACCACCAAAGACATGGGCCGTTGCCTGGGAAAATACGTGGTTGTCTTCAATTGCTCCGACCAGATGGACTTCCGTGGACTGGGCCGCATCTATAAAGGTATAAACAGCTTTCTTCTCTTTCACCTTATACAGAGCAACCTTAATCAAGATAGAGGATGCATATTTAACATGAATGGCCTTTTTCCAATGGTGTTTCATGTTTATAATGTTTGTCAAACAGGATTAGCTCAGTCTGGAGCATGGGGCTGTTTTGATGAGTTCAACCGCATCGAGCTGCCTGTGCTCTCAGTAGCTGCTCAACAAATCTACATCGTCCTGCAGTGCAAGAAGAACAAAAAAACTCAATTCATATTCACAGATGGAGATGTGGTGGATATGGATAGAGAGTTTGGGATCTTCCTTACTATGGTAATGTGACAACCTTTTTATGTCATGGAACTATACTGCAGTCATCAAAGGAGCCATATGGGAAACAACCTGACATGTTTTTTCAGTCTTACTCTTTCTTCAGTATTTCCCCCTCCATTAAATGGTCATTTTTCATCACAGAACCCAGGTTATGCTGGTCGACAGGAGCTTCCTGAGAACTTGAAAATTCAGTTCCGCACAGTGTCCATGATGGTGCCTGATCGAGCCATCATCATGAGGGTGAAACTTGCCAGCGCAGGTTTTCGTGAAAATCAAGTCCTCAGCCGCAAGTTTTACACGCTGTACAAACTGTGTGAGGAACAGCTTTCTAAACAGGTACTCACAATTAAAGGGATAGTTCACCCCCAAAATTAAAACTCTTGTCACTAATTACTCACCCTCATGTCGTTCCAAACCCGTAAAACCTTTGTTCATCTTCGGAACACAAATTAAGATATTTTTGATCAAATCCTAAATATTTCTGACCCTCTCATTTCAGTCACGTCACATTTATATATATATATATATACTACGGTGGCTGAGAAGTGCAAAACAAATCACAATTCTGAAAACAAAATAACAAATTACAAACGCAAATGCAAGTCTAAAAAACAAAATAACAATTCAGAAAGCACAACAACAATTCAAAAAACATTATAACAAGTCAGAAAACACAATGACAAATTAGAAAACAAAATAACAAGTCAGAAAACACAACGACACATCCGAAAACAAATTAACAAGTCAGAAAACACAACGACAAATCAGACAAAGCGGAAGAGGTAGGTATAGTTTGAGACAGCGCCATTGTTTTGGGATTACTCACCGCTGACTGGACGAGACATCTGTCAATCAACGTATACAGGAAGAACCAGCTGAAGAACAACAGAGCCGTGGTAGAAAGTTCAGAGATGGTATTAAAGTAGCTCAGTTTAAATGTATTGTATGAATTGCCCTTACTATGGAATAAAAAATACGGAGTGTCTATTTACATTTAGTTAAATGTGGCTATAAAACATCAGCTCCAGTGGCGCAGATGGATAAGCGTGTGTCATTGGCTTTTTGATGCGATCGACCCGGGTTCGATCCCTCCTTTTGCCGAACTTTTTTAATAAACACTGTAAACATAGCTAGGCTATTTTAGTTCCCCTCACTCTACAACAAATCCTTTCAATTAACAGTATTTAGAAAAGAACAAGAATTAAAAATATAAGAAGCTATAGCAATATAAACGACAAGCCAAAACTAATTCATTTAGGCTAAAACGAAACTGAAACCACCGTTGGGTCTCTCATTCAACACAAAATCAAATGTTTTCGTATTCGCAATGTATTTGAATGGCAAATTATTATTTATTATCAGTGTTGTGCAAGTTACTTCCAAACTGTAATACATTATAGATTACTTGTTACTGTTATTTAAAAAATAATTCCTTACCGTACAATATTACTGTCTCAGAATTGTAATGCGTTACATGAAGTAGAAGTAGACTTGACATCTACTGTACTGCAGAGCATTTTACATCCAGTAGAGGACAATATGGTGTATCTTAATGACTGTGGGCTATCCAGGCTACTAACAATATAGCTTATAATTGGAGTGAAGGCTCAAGACAATGCAAGAAAGGATGACAGCCAGAATCACAAATAATGACATGCGGCTATTGACTGACCACGAACAGGAAATAGAACTTGTTTGCGGCATTTTTGATTCGTTAATGTCTCGCGGTCTTGCTGTTTTTTTCCTTTCTTTGAACAATTAAATTTTGAGTAATCCCTTGAGTTTTTTCCTTCTAACAGTGGAAGCAACTACTCCTTTTAGTCCTAAAGGTAATCGGAATTGTAAAAGGTTTGCCTTTATTTGTGTACATTCACAATAAAAACAAATCTTTGTGCTTTTGTAAAATAAGCCTAAAGAAAAATAGTATGCCGCTTTGTCGTCTGTTTCCTTTCGCGCAGCACAAAACTGAACCAAAACTCTGCATACTAGGCTACTAATTGCACAGTTTTTCTTTCATTTTCTTAATTTATTATTTAAGTAAAAATATATTTCTATATATACGTATAGGCCTATTTATTAGTTGTGTATATATATATACATATAGCCTAGCTTTATCATGTTTTTCTCCGCTGGCAGAAGCGCGCTGCAGGTGCGTGATCTGATATGATGACCATGTGAATCCTCATGTTCTGTTGTTTGCTGCTTTTTGCGCATGTAAAATGAATCCCCGGAAAACAAATGTTAGTATTTTTAATGGGTCACAGACACTTATCCTTTCTAATTTAATTAAATTCTAACTTAAAATAATCTTGTCGGTTAACGGTTAACAACCGGTTAACGAGCGTCGGTTAGGAAAAATAACCGAAATGACCATCCCTAATAATATTGTTATTGTATATAATTCATCGTAGTATTATTGTTTTCATTATTATTTTAAATTTATTAAACTTGAGTTTTCCATGAATTTAAGTTTTGAAGCTGATATGTTGTTAAATAAATAAGTTTTCTTTGCAAGGTATCAAGGCATGATACCTTGCTGATCTTTTTTTTTTATCACTCAACAGGTCCATTATGACTTTGGCTTGAGAAACATCTTGTCTGTTTTGAGAACTCTGGGTGCTGTGAAGAGATCCAACCCAACTGAGCCAGAAAAGACTGTGGTCATGAGAGTTCTGCGGGACATGAACCTCTCCAAACTGGTGACTATGACTGATCCAGATCTGTTTGGAAATAACACCTTGAAGTAATAGGATAAATGTTTTAGTGTGTCACAGATATTTTCAGCAGCTGACACTATTCCTGCCTCTCCCTCCATACAGGTAGATGAAGATGAGCCCCTGTTCATGAGTCTGATAAACGACTTGTTTCCGGGCATTCAGCTGGATAAAGCTGGTTATCCTGATCTGGAAGCTTCTATCACCAAACAAGCTGAAGAAGCCGGGTTGATTGCGCACCCACCCTGGATTCTCAAACTTGTGCAACTATATGAGACACAGAGAGTGAGACATGGTTAGACATTATCCATTTTACTTCTATTAAAGTTATAAGAATGAATTTTGTCATATGCCCATGGCTGTAGGCATGCATAGATTTGGTGAAGTGGACAATGCTGTCCTCATTCCATATATTTGTTCTCTGTGTGTAGGTATGATGACTCTTGGTCCCAGTGGAACAGGAAAGACCACATGTATCCACACTCTAATGAAAGCAATGACAGAATGTGGAAATCCACACAAAGAAATGAGGATGAATCCCAAGGCTATTACTGCCTCCCAGATGTTTGGCACATTGGATGTGGCCACAAATGACTGGACAGATGGTGTCTTCTCTACACTGTGGAGGAAAACTTTAAAGTCCAAAAAGGTGAAAGAGTTGTATTAACAAGCAACTTGAGTAAATGAATGACATGCTTATGTAACCATTAACTTTGACTGTATTGGCAATAAGCATTTTTTTTTATTTGTCATTACTGATCAAATATGACTTGGAATGGCAGTTTAACAAGTAAATAGATATTTTTTACTTTATGAAATATAAATGTTTTAATAATTTTTGATTGCAATTAATAACTGTCAGTAAATGACCTGGTGCTCATGACTTTTCACTAGTAAGTACCGTATTGACCTGAAAAAACCGCCTTCGTCTTATATTCAGGGTCTAGACTTTGACATGTCAATAATACACCCACAACAATAGGTGGCGCCAAATACGCATAAACCGAGTGTGCCATGAAATACGTAATGTAATGCGTGTTGTAAAGATCGCGAGTATAAACAAAAGAAAAAGAAAACCTTACAGCTGCATGAGTCGTGACTGTCACATTAGCCTGATGGGACAAAACTCCCTTTGTGATTTTAAAACGTAAGACAGTACCCAGATTTGAAGACTACAGTAAGATTTTACTTCTACTGTTAATAAGATTTTGGTAGGCTACTATTAGATGGATAGCCTAAATGTCCTAATTCAGATGGGCTACCTGTTTTTTTTTTTTTTTTTATGGTATATCAAAAAGTGTATATTTTTTTTAATGTGATTGTTGGTACATTTGACCAGTTTTTACCATACTTTCAAAACAAAAATTAAAATAGGAAAAATGTGCAATATGAAAATAATTGAAGACAAAATGTGTTTTACTGAGAAAAAACGAGATTTGGTTTTAAAAAAGCCTTTTTCCAAAAGGTACATCTGGAAAAGGGGGGGTCGTCTTATATTCTGGCCAATACGGTACTTAAAATTCCAATTAAATTACTCCATGGTAAAACATTTCACAGGGAGAACACATATGGATTGTTCTTGATGGTCCAGTTGATGCTATCTGGATTGAAAATCTCAACTCCGTCTTGGACGATAACAAAACCCTCACCCTGGCAAATGGAGACCGAATACCAATGGCCCCCAACTGCAAGGTGGTATTTGAGCCACACAACATCGACAATGCATCTCCTGCCACTGTGTCCCGCAATGGAATGGTCTTCATGAGCTCCTCTGTTCTGGAATGGCAACCCATACTGCAGGCCTGGCTGCAAAATATCCCAGCAACACAGGCTGAAGTGCTACTGGCCTCCTTCAACTCAATCTATCAGGTGACAGCTAGACATGTGTGCAGTATTTCACATTAGGGCTGTGTATCAACAGCAAAGTCACGATACGATACGTATCACGGTACAGAGGCCACAATACGATACATATCATGATACAGGACTGCACTGAATTTCACCTCAGCAGAATTTAGTAAAAATACTGTTTATTAAACTCTGCTTACTGTAGAGCCATTTCTAATTATTGGCAGAGCAGGCAGTTGACCTCTGCATTATGAAGGGCTTCCATAGCTGTAACACAGTACAATATAGGTAATGGCATATGTTTCATGTTTACATTGAGCACTCCCCACAAGGTGCAATATTCTGATTGTTTACATCTTGTTTTTAAGCCCATAAATAATAATGTACTCATTCTAATAAATGTATATTGTAATGTACTCATACTAATATATATATATATATTTTAAAATCATCTTAACATTGCTGGTAGGTTTTTCTACATTTAAAAAATAAAAATGAGAAGAGTTCTAAACGAATGCACTGTCTTCTGTATCTAATGCACACACACGCTCAGTCACTCACACATATCACGTTGCGCGCACGCACTAAGACATTCAGGAACAAACTTTTTAGCGCTGCCCTGCAGTTTTATCAACTATATAGCTTAATCGCTCAAGAGCCACATTATCTTTCTCAACAAGGAGCTGGTAACATTATTGTTTCTAAAGGAATTAAAGCCACAGCTTCACTGTTAATAGAGAAACATGGCAAAAATTAAAGCCACAGCTTCACTGTCAAAAGAGAAACATGGCAAAACGGTGGTAATTCATACACACACACCCTCTCTCTCTCTCTCTCTCTCTCTCTCTCTCTCTCTCTCATAAATGAACACTTGATGAATTACACTTTTCTGAGAATAGAATATAGAAGTGGAGATCGCTAAACTGCAAGTTTACCGGTGTTTTCAGAAAGCCAGCGCATTTATCCAGAGTGGAGAGAGTGCGCATGCGCACATAGTTGCCAGGTTGACAAAGATAAGTAGCACACTTAGCAGATATTTCCGTATTGCGCAAGTGGGAAGCTCTGTTACGGGGATTAAGACTCTTTATATCAAGCAACCCCAGTTGTGTTCCTCTGCGGCCAGATTAAACCTGGTTGTAGCCTATATATTATGCTCTATTCATTATTTTTTAGAAACCTCGCACTTTTCTACTCCTTTTTTAAACAGTGTTCTTGTGCGGTCCACTGCTGCACACGTGCCGCAATATTGATACAGAGACCGCTCTATCGATACTCCTATCATCAAATCTCTGACGATACATTGTCGTATCGATGTATCGAACACAGCACTATTTCACATGCTCTCTGATACATAGATTATTGGAGTACAGTTTACCTGTTACCTGAATATTTAGTTACATTTTGAGGGGTATCTAGTGATATAAACCGGGTAAAACATCAATATAAAAATGGATCAATACAACGCTTGTAAACCATTTAAGCTATTAAGTGGTTTATGAATATGAAAAGCTCTATTGATTTTTTTGACATTGCCTAGGGAAAGGTAAGAGAGGATTTTGTACACAGTTTTGAAAATCTCTTACTGACTATTGACTGTTTTCCACAGGATTTGATGACTTTTGTCTGCACTGCCGTTTCCCCCAAAATGCAGCTGCTTGAGTGCATGTACATCAAGCAAACAATTGATTTATTACAGGTAAAATGTGATGCACAGTCACAATCATTTTCATCTATCATGAAATAAAGCTTGAGCAGCTTATTGAATTAATATACACTATCAGTTAGAATTTTAGACACACTAAATCAGTTTAATTCATGTTAATGATCCTAAAAATAGAGTGATCTTGAACTATAATCTTGGCAAATGGTGGCTATTCTGAAGAAGCTCAAATATAAAATGGTTCTGATTTGTTAAACACAGGGCCTGTTGCCAGCCGTTGAAGAGAAACACCTAACAGCAGCTCACATCAAACGTCTCTTCATATTTGCTGTGATGTGGTCTGTTGGTGCTTTGCTGGAATTGGATGATCGAGCCAAGATGGAGGTATTCCTTAAAAAGCACAATGCCAAGTTGGACTTGCCCACCACACAGGGGGACCAGACAATCTTTGAGTTTGTAGTCAGTGCAACTGGAGAGTGGGATCTCTGGTCTACAAGGGTAAGACCATTATTTGTTAAGTACAATATTATGTATAGTTTAAAAGCCACTAGAGATCTTTTATTATAGCATGCCTCGTGCTACAATATTTCTTAGTTTTCTTTGTGACAACCTTCATATTTATCTTTTTATTCAGTGCATTAGTAAGTTGCCATTTTTAAACATACCATTTAATTGCGATGTCATTAGGTGCCAGAGTATCACTATCCCAAAGACTCAGTTCCAGACTATGCCTCCATTCTCGTACCCAATGTTGACAATATACGGACAGACTTCCTGATGCAAACCATTATGAAGCAAGGCAAAGCTGTCCTGCTCATTGGTGAACAGGGAACAGCCAAGACAGTCATGATCAAGGTACATCTGTTTCAGTTAATCCATGCTGTTATCAGCAGAATAATATTTTGTAATAAATAATTTACTGGCTTTGTAGTTTATAATACATATTTGAAATCTTGAAATTGAACTGATGTCAATTCAAGGTGCATTCACATTTACTATTGCTCAGCAAAATTTTGCTAGTGAAATCCAGTGATTACTACACAGATTTTACTCGTCAGGTGAATTCACCACGCTGAAATTAATTCTGACAAAACGATGTAATCCAAACCACAGGGCTACATGAGCAAGTATGACCCGGAAACGCATTTGAGCAAAAGCCTAAACTTCTCCTCGGCCACTCTGCCTGGCATGTTCCAGCAGACTATTGAGAGTTACATAGACAAACGCATGGGCACCACCTATGGACCTCCAGGCGGGAGGAAGATGACTGTCTTTATTGACGACATCAACATGCCAGTTATCAATGAGTGGGGTGATCAGGTGAGCAGTCACATGCTCCTTTGTTACTTAATTTTCCAAAAATCTACCCCTTTGGTTAATTTCTTTGAGCACACTATGTATTATATAGATGACCTCAACAGACATGGACTGTAGTTTTGGATTTTAATTTCGTCTGGTTTGTCAAATAACAAGGCATAATTAATAAATGAAATAAATAATTTTAATAGATAAACAATAATAGAGCGCTGCAGTGATGATAAATGTTTTTTAGCCAACCCGGAAGTAGAATCACCCTGGTTCCCTCTACAGAAACCCAATAAGATTTTTCCATTAGCTTTTGGAATATAGCAGAAAATAAGCTCTGTAGGCAACATAAGTTTATGATTCTTACACGTTTTATCATGATAATCTTCAAATTAACACAACTTGTATGTTGTATTATTTTGCACCCTAAATACAATCAGCAGAAGTAAAACCCTGTTGAAAAAAACAGCATATGCTGGTTAGGTATGTTTTGAAGCATGGCTGCTGGTCCTTAGCTGGTCATGAGCTGGTCGTGTGCTGGTCCTAAGCTGTCCTAAGCAACTAGCTCCTGCTCAGGACCAGCTTAGGACCAGCACATGACCAGTTTAAACCAGCTCATGACCAGCTAAGGACCAGCTCAAACCAGCAGCCATGCATCAAAACATAACTAACCAGCATATGCTGGTTTTTCAATAAGGAAAACTAACCGTAGGCTATAAACAAACTACTCCACGCTAAGTTTCACTAACGTCACCATCACTAAGCTTTGGACACTTTCAAAAAACATTTTCCCTGAAAGTTTGAGCTAGAATAGTTTGCAAGAGTGCAATTAAAAACACAACGAGTCTTCAGGACAACGGAACAGGGAGTGTCTGGGCTTTGGTCTACAAAAATATCATGTGTTGACAACAGTGGCGTGCACAGACCACCCGTCCGTGGTCAGTCTCTGACTGAGCCTCCTGTTTTTTTGTTTACCACTCAGATCACTAACGAAATTGTTCGCCAGCTGATGGTGCAGGGAGGTTTCTACAGCCTGGAACGATCTGGGGAATTCACCAGTGTAGTCGACTTGTATGTGGTGGCTGCTATGATCCACCCTGGTGGTGGCCGCAATGATATCCCCCAACGACTCAAACGCCAGTTCTGTGTGTTTAACTGCACTCTACCATCCAACTCCTCCATAGATAAGATATTCCAAACGCTGGCCAGTGGTTATTTTTGCTCAGAAAGAGGCTTCACGGAAGAGGTGTGCTCTCTAGCTGCCGCCCTGGTCCCCACCACCAGGAGAGTGTGGCAAGTGGTCAAAGCTAAGGTACTGCCATCATAATATGATCAAAAGAGGTATTGCTTATTGAACATGGAATGTCTGGTAATCTGTAGTCTCTTCCAAATTTAATTTCATTTGTTATCTTTTAACAAAGACTATCCATGTCTTTTAAAACATGCATGCAATGTGTCACAGCACACATTGGTCCAAATTATTAGAAAAGGGTGCCCTCTTTTGGTCAGTATGCTTCAAAGTAAACTGAGCTGCATTAATATTGTTCAGCTCTTGCAATATATTTTAAATACACTACCATTCAAAACTTTGAGGTCACTAAGATTTTACTTTTTTTCAAGAAATAAACATTTAATCAGCAAGGAATCAATGAATTGATCAAAAGTGACAGTAAAGACTTTTGCATTGTAATCAACTTATCTATTTTAAACAAATGCTGCTCTTTTGAACTTTATATTCATCAAAGAATTCAATAAATAAATCATGGATGAGAGCAGGGAGAGCAGTGATAACCCCCCAGTGTAACAGAACAGAACCAACATAAATGTATTGCAGATACTGTTAAAGTTCAATAATTTTATGTACATATTTTAGAATTAGCCTGATTCAAACAAGCTGAATCCTGACTGACAAGAGGAGGAGCTGGGTATGGAGGAGGGTAATTAGCTATTGAGCAACGTGAAAACTGCTGATGATAATGAGGGACCTTATATGTGAATGCTTAGAATGCTTAATGAATTCATTTATTTATTTGATCTCACATTGACTTCTGTACACTCTCACAGGATGCCATGACCCATTTGATGAAAATCTCTCGGATAATCCGGACGGCTCGTGGTAATGCACTACTGGTTGGAGTCGGGGGTTCTGGGAAACAGAGCCTCACCCGACTTTCATCCTTCATTGCTGGATACCAGAGCTTTCAGATTACACTGACACGGTGAGAAAATTGTAATTGTTCTTAAATTTGATGGTTTGATTTCTCATTGTTGTCATAAGGGCCTTTCACACCCTGTGTAAACTGAATGGTCGATTAATTTGTTTCATGTTTCACATTCTGTGTGAATGGCCCCTAGCACTGCATAGTTTCAGAAGCGGTGCTCTTAACCATGGGTAAAAACGGTGCTAGCTAGGGATGTGCTCAAATATTCGAATATTCGCTCTGTAATTATTATTCGAAAAATAAAAACACTATTCGAATTTTAATGCATGATGCTTTTCTGGCCGTAAATACAGGGCATCCATGATAAATCCTCCACAGTGATAACTAAATGCACTGGGTGGCACTGTGGAGCGTGTTAACGAGTTGATTGTATTTGATCACAGAATGTCGTTGTCTGCCTCGCGAAGTTTGGAATTACTTTGATAAAAATGATCTTACTAAATGATCTTACAAAATGGAAATACTTTTGGTGAAATTAATCAGTGAAACTGAGTTATCATAATATCACCATCACAATGAGAAATCCCACAAAACAGCAGTCGACTGAGGAAAGACAGCTGTCCATTACTGCATTCACGACTGCAGGTAAGCGCAGCTATACCCGAGTGAGCCGAGAAGAGAGCTTATCTGATAGCGAAATGATCGTGAGACATATGCTTCCTTTAAGTTTCCTTGATGGAGAGTGGTTTAAAAACAGAAAACACAAAGCGCTATAAGAAACTTTGCTTAGCACACCGTTATGTTTGTGTCTCTGTCTGGAACGTCTGTGTCAGCGCGCTATTTTTATTGTTATCAGACTGAGGAGCCTATTTTCACCCGAGCATGTGGATATTATTGTTTTTCTCAACATTAAAATGTGCAACAATATAAACACGATAAACATAGGCCGACTCGAGTGTGTAACTTGCGTTCTGTACTGTAATTGGCACGGGCTGCTTAATTTTTTATGTTTGCTCTTCTTGACTTTGAATGCTTTTGTTCTTAATATATAGATTTTTTTTTTGTTTACACACGTTTTCAACTAAAAGAAAACTGAGATATAACGCAGCTTTGTTGTAGAACATAATGCCTTATCATAAGCTTGTTCAGAAATGGTGACAGAAACTTGATTATTAAATCATAACGTATTTTTCTTTTAACCTAATTTAAATAAACGAATATTCGTTTTTTATGAGCCCAAATATTAGAATACAGTATTTCTGAAAAATGCCCATCCCTAGTGCTAACACTGCTTCTAAATTACAAGTGTGAAATGTTCCTCTTCCCAGGGTTAAAAGCAGGGTTTAGAATGGTGATAACCTGGAGTTAAGTGAAGTGGGAAAGGTCTAATAGTGTATTAAGACACAGTACTGATACTTTCTATCAATGATTTAAATTGAGTTCAGTGAATATTTTATCAAAAGGTAAAAATATTTAACATAATTTATTCCCTTACAGAACATACAATGTGAGTAATCTAATTGAGGACCTGAAAACCCTGTACAGAATCGCAGGTTTGGAAGGGAAGGGCGTGACTTTCATCTTCACGGACAATGACATCAAGGATGAAGCTTTTTTGGAGTACATGAACAACGTTCTGGCATCGGGAGAAGTCTCAAACCTGTTTGCTCGAGACGAGGTGGATGAGATCACCCAAAGTCTTATTCCCATCATGAAGAAAGATCTCCCACGCTGCCCACCCACCATCGACAACCTCTACAACTACTTCCTGTCCAGGGTGCGCAGTAACCTTCATGTTGCTCTTTGCTTCTCTCCGGTGGGTGAGAAACTGCGTTCCCGTGCCCTGAAGTTCCCCGGCCTCATCTCGGGTTGCACTGTGGACTGGTTCCAGCGGTGGCCACGGGATGCTTTAGTAGCTGTGGCTCACCATTTCCTCTCCAACTATTCACTGCGTTGTTCAGATGAGGTGAAGAAGAGTGTGGTAGAAACTATGGGAACATTCCAAGACATGGTGGCAGAAATCTGCACCGAGTATTTCCAGCGCTTCAGGCGTCAGACCTATGTGACACCCAAATCCTACTTGATGTTTATTAAAGGATACCAGATAATTTACTCAGAAAAAATTGATCATGTGGGGATGCTTGCAGAACGAATGAACACAGGTTTGCAATTACATCAGAATTTTAGATTTGTTGCTGTACTTTCCCATACAGCAAAAAAAATAAATAATTGTATATATTTTTAAATATATTTCAAAATATAAAAAATAGCCCAAAAATGTATTTGGCTAAAATATGTTTCAAAATATATTTATGTAAATATATTTTCTACCAATATATTTTTGGCCTTTTTTTTAAATATATTTATGAAAATATATTTTAAATGCAAAAATATATATTTTTAAAAGCATTTACACAAGGATCATAATTTAAAATGCTACAAAAAAGCATTATTGCAATATATAAAAATATTAAATATTTAAGCATTTTAATTCTGATGATAATTAAAAAAATTATCTCTAGTAGGCCATCTACATTTGTATTTAGCCTAAACGTAGGCTACTGTAAGACTGAAATGCTTTATTATTTATTTTATTGCCTCTAAAATACATTTAGAAATATATTTAATGTTTCATATATTAATATTTCATTTTGGTATATATCATATATTTAGCATATATTTCAAATATATTATGGCCACATTGCAATATATAAAAATATTAAATATTTAAGCATTTTAATTCTGATGATAATTTAAAAAATTATCTCTAGTAGGCCATCTACATTTGTATTTAGCCTAAACGTAGGCTACTGTAAGACTGAAATGCTTTATTATTTATTTTATTGCCTCTAAAATACATTTAGAAATATATTTAATGTTTCATATATTCATATTTCATTTTGGTATATATCATATATTTAGCATATATTTCAAATATATTATGGCCACAATATATATATATATATACAAAAGGGTGAAAATGCTCTCAGCTTGGTATCTTCAGCATTAGCATGTAGTCTTGGAATGGGAAACCACTTTTGCACAATATTCACTGAAAAACTAATAATTATTAATGACAAGGTCACATTTTTGAAAATGACATACTCTAAATTCTTTCATCTCACTGCAGGTCTTGAGCGTCTCATGGAGGCCGAACAGTCTGTTAATGAGCTTCGTGTGGAGCTGAGAGAGAAGGAGAAGGTGCTGGAGGTGGCTAACCAGAAAGCAGAAGTAGTTTTACAGGAGGTCACGGCCAAGGCACAAGCTGCGGAAAAGGTGAAGGTTCAGGTCCAGAAGGTGAAAGATAAGGCCCAGGCGATTGTGGATGAGATAGAGGGGGACAAGAAGGTTGCCGAGTCCAAACTTGAGGCGGCCAAACCAGCATTAGAGGCAGCTGAGGGTGCGCTAAAGGTAGATGTCTGGATGATGCTAAATCACCTCTGAAACACAATTTAGTTAAATGTTTTGTGTTTCATGTTGACTTGAATACCTTGAATTTAGTCAGCGTAAATCTTTGTACCATGTTTGGTTTCTAGACCTTAAAGCCTGCTGACATCGCAACAGTGCGTAAACTGGGAAAGCCTCCACATCTGATCATGCGGATCATGGACTGCGTACTGCTGCTGTTCCAGCGACGGGTGGATGTGGTCACCATGGACCCCGAGAGACCCTGTGTAAAACCTTCATGGAGTGAAGCTCTTAAATTGATGAACAACTCTGCATTCCTCAGCAATCTGCTGAACTTCAACAAGGTCAGACAGCACTGTGATACTAATCAAATCTTCATTTTAGGTCTTTATTAAAGTGATAAATCTATCTTATTGGATGAGCCATGGTAAAAAAAATGTATAAAGTAAATGTAAGAATACATTGTAAAGAATACAAATGTAAATTTTAAATGTTAAGTAATATTTCAAGATGAACACTTACTTGACTGATACAATTTAGGTTTACTTGATTATCCATAAATACTTTTATAGAAAAATAATTTTAAAAAGTAAATGTCAAATATGATCCATCAGGCTTTTGAGCAACACTTATTTGTATATCTCTGAATGATCATTGTGTTGTATTTCAACCATAAAAGATGTATCGAATATGTTCCTCAGCAAAAAGAAAAAAACATGGACATTTTAATATATTTTTATTATATATTATTATTATTATTATTATATATTTATACATTTTTAACAACCTTTTTTTTTATAAAAAACTATTTTTTCATATTTTAGATTTTTCAGGGTTTATATTATATTCAGGATGAGCACTAATTATGAAAAAACCCTGTTCTCATACTGCACTCATGTAACTAAGCACTAATAGTATCACTTCATCTCTTCAAGTTATTAGTTCCATCTATATGGAGCTCCATGAACGACCCCGGGCTGGACTCCGCTTCGTCCACGGTGAATGCCGATCTGGCGATCGACAGCGCGAAGTTGATGTATTTCCTCAATACTACAGTGAGAATAAAAGTTACGCCTTCTTTCTTTGCGTGAACATTTGGGGGGCGTTATGCAAATCTTCCCATATCGTGACGTAGACATGTGGGGGCATGTTAGAACGAGCCGTTTTAGGTAGGCGTGGTTGACTCTTAACTTTTATAAAGAATATCTCTTTGTATTTGAGACTTTAGTCTTTGCAACTTTACAGATCTTCTTTATGCACCAAGAGCTTGTAACACTCCAAAGAGAAAGGAAAAATTTAAATCGCATCATATGACCCCTTTAATGCATGCTTACGGAGTAAAACTATTAAATCTCTTTTAAAAAAATTGTTAAACCTCTTAATAAATTTATTTCCATACTTTGTGTATCACAGGCTAACTTAAAGCTTCAAGAAGCTCGTTTGACTGTAGCACAGAACGAACTATCAAGCGCTCAGGAACAACTGGACTCGAAGCAGAGAGAGCTGGATGAGGCTCAGGTGTGATATATATGTGATATACTGTATAACCAAGAATCTGGTCTATTTTATAAAAATAAAAAAATAGTGATACATTTTCTTTAGCAGATCTCAAATGTGACTTCTTCTGCAGATACGGGCAGAACAGCACTTTAAATTCTCTGATTGAAGATAAATGAATGAATTTATGAGTTTTAAGTATATAGTTAGCACTAATGTTTGGATTTGCATTTGTAATTTTAATTTAGTTTTCAACCAAAAAATTTAAGTTTATATGAATTTCCAAAGTTTTAAAATCCCAGATGGATGTTTACGCACATTTTTGCACAGGCAATGTATGATGCGGCCATGAAGGAGAAGCAAGACCTGCTGGATGATGCTGAGGCATGCAAGAAGAAAATGTCCAATGCTGTGGCACTTATAGATGGACTTGGTGGAGAAAAGGTTTGAAAATTCCTTGCAGAATTTGGATTAGATTAAATGAGAGCTACACTACAGATGTTTGACTGCAAGCCTTAAAAATGACACTCCTTGAAAACATCCAAAAAGGTGATCTGTACATGTGCTTATGTCTGCCTTAGATTCGCTGGACGGAGAGCAGTGCTCAGTTTGCGAGACAAATCAAAGATTTGGTGGTGTTTGGATTTGCATTTGTAATTTTAATTTAGTTTTCAACCAAAAAATTTAAGTTTATATGAATTTCCAAAGTTTTAAAATCCCAGATGGATGTTTACGCACATTTTTGCACAGGCAATGTATGATGCGGCCATGAAGGAGAAGCAAGACCTGCTGGATGATGCTGAGGCATGCAAGAAGAAAATGTCCAATGCTGTGGCACTTATAGATGGACTTGGTGGAGAAAAGGTTTGAAAATTCCTTGCAGAATTTGGATTAGATTAAATGAGAGCTACACTACAGATGTTTGACTGCAAGCCTTAAAAATGACACTCCCTTGAAAACATCCAAAAAGGTGATCTGTACATGTGCTTATGTCTGCCTTAGATTCGCTGGACGGAGAGCAGTGCTCAGTTCGCGAGACAAATCAAAGATTTGGTGGGGGATGTTTTGCTGGCCACTGGATTTCTATCCTATGCTGGGCCTTTCAACCAGGAGTATCGCAGCCTTCTTATGCAGCAGTGGAAGAAAGAGATGAATATCTGCCGCATCCCTTACAGCGAGGTACATCCTGAGTAGGGATGGGTACCGAAACCCGGTATTTAATCGGTCCTGGGGCTAAATTATGAAAGACCGGAGTATCGATAAGCTCTGACGTTAACGGTTCTGCTATCGGTACTGGAGAAATTAATAAAACACATTTATTATTGCTATATATACATTATCTTGCAAATTCTATCTCACCAGAGTCGCCAGCTGTTTTTCAAACATTTGTCTATGATGTATTTTTGCTATTCACAATTCAGAAGCGAGATCGCGCCCACACGGAGGAGCTTCAGCACATGCAACATGAAAGCCCTGTTTAATTATGATAGAAGAGCGAACTAAACATCTGCTTACACTTTAGGCCTGTGGCTGTTTTATTAAGCTAATTTTATTAAATTTTTTTGATTTTGGCTTCTAAGGATTATACAAAAGAAGACATGAGGTAAAGCTATTAAAAACTAGCTGCGTTTCGTATTGCGCAACTTCTTTCCCTTCACAGGGAAGAAGCATTCGTTCCTGCCTAAAACCCAAACGTAACGTCAGAATCAGCTCAATCGGTGATTGTTGTAAGATGCCGTCTTTACTGTTGCTAAATTGCGGGACATGTTTGATAATAAAATGTTGAAAGCACAATCCGCACAAGAGACGCTGTTTCTCAGGCTGAAATGTGTGCGCGCGGCGCGCTCCAAAACAGACAAACAAATTACACTTTGAGCTTCGGACGCATGTCCAATCGATCAAATACACACAAAAATCTGTCAAAATGGCTGGCTTGGAGAGTATTTACTTAACCACAGTTTATGTCTTAAGTGGAGGATGTGTCCTAAAGATAATAAATGTGATCAAATGTGTCCCTAAGACATAAATCCGATGTGTAAATATATTGTCTTAAGGTGACAGACTGGCGCTTGGGCCATCAAAATGCAAATCTGCTCTTAATCTGAATAACGTTATAGCTTTAATAAGCATTAATCTATCAATACATACACTGAAACTATGCAGTGTTCATTTACATTTGATCACTTTTAGATTTCTTTTGTAGGCTATTACTTACCTGGGCTGCGTTTCTCGATAACGATTGATCTTAGACAGGGTTCCCACGTTTCTTGAAAGTACTTGAATTTCAGACACATGGATTCAAGGCTTACAAAGTACTTGAAAAGAAACATCGGTCCTTGAAAGTGCTTGAATTAAATTTGAAATTAATTTTGTTTATGGCGCTATTTAAAAAATTGTCCTATATGTTCTGTCAAAGAACGAAATGGCACTAATGATTGGGGGTGGAGATGGGGTAACGCGACAAAAACTTAGCGTGTGTGTTGATGCGCAGCCTAGAGCCCTTAGCGGGACAGTTTTCTTAAGCCCGCTCCCGCTGAATTTCTGACCATTACTGCCCGCTCCCACAACGTGTGTGTCCCGCTCCCGTGAACATTCTAATATTGTATATACAGGGATTAAAGTTTTTCGTCGCTACGACGGATTTCCGTCAATTGGAAAAAATGAGGGGAGAAGAAATGCATAGCGCATTGTTGTTGTTCTGCCGGCACACCAAAAATCATCCCCGCCATGGCTGCAGCTTCTCACTGACAACATAGTGATGCCGCTCGCATCATTCATAATCGAGTTATTAGCATTTAATTGCACTCATGCCACCTCTGAGAATCAGTAAATGTCTGAAAATTTACCTACAAGCCACTTTTGTGTTCTTCTGTGCACCATCTGTAGTAGAAATAATTGTTTTTATTAATACTAATTTAATTTGATTGCTAACTTATTTGTCTTATTCTACTTCTTATTATATTTTTTTAAATAGAACTTTTAAAAAGCTTATAAACATACATTTTTGAATTTGAAGGCAAAGGTAAAAAAAAAAAAAAAAGCCCCTGTAAATCACTTTAAGGAGTCAAATATCACCTCATATTAGGAAGGCTAATTTTTGATCAGAATTTTTGATTATTGGTCAGAAGGTGCTCCTAAATTTTTTTAATTAGGAGGACAAGCGCTCCTAAAAAGAAAAGTAAGCATAGAGCCATGTGTATAGTATATTAGATCTGTGCATGAGGTCTTAAAGAGACAGCAGCCTAAATAAACCTGCTGCTGTCTTTCATTATACAGTGAAGACTATCCAGTGTTATTTTACAGTTGAGTAGATTATAGTTAGACCTAACTGAAAACATTTATTGTTATTGTTTTTGTTTGTGCTATTGATTGTCATTAATTTATTTGTTCTTATTTTATTATTCACTATTTACTTGTCATTTTTAGTTAAAATAAATTCAATTCTGAGTGCACGTGATTCTTGGGTGAGGAGGGGGCGTGGTCCTGCCACCACAGCTGGAAAAAAATCCTAGAGGAAACACCACATGCATTTAATAAAATTAGAAAAATGCATTTACAAAGGTAAAAAGAAAATGCCCCTGAAATCACTTTGAGTCAAATGTCAGCTTGTATTATTCAGAATTTTTTATTATTGATTAGAAGGTGCTCCTACACTTCTCTTAAACTAGGTATGTGACAGGTATGGATGTGGAATGGGGTTTAGGCCGAGGAAAAATTTTCAGTCAAAAGATTTTTTTTTTCTTTAACCCCATAATTTTCACACATCAGGGAGCCACTATCAATATGCGGGGTATTGAAATCGCATTTGAATTAGCTCTCGCTGTTCACTTTCGATATCACGATCACACGCATTCTGTGAAAAGGGAGCACATCTTATCAGCATATATAATAATTATGCACGCACTGTATTCTGATCATATGTTTTCCAAGCACATTTTACCAATTCCAAACCACATCAATCTAAATAGCTACTATTATTTTTGTATTTAATCATTTAGAAGTGATATATAATTGTCCATTAAGGCTGGAAATGAAAAACTCCTTATTAAGGTGTGCAGAATTATTAGGCAGGTTTTCTTTTACAGATGAAATGAGCCAAAAAAGAGATTTAACTCAGACTGAGAAGTCAAAAATGATTAAATCCCCTTGAGAAATATAAACTAATTCAATACAGAAATTTCAAAGTTAAGGCATGACCATTGGTCAGCAAAATCCTCACTGGGTCAGCGGGGTCAGAAAAAAACAGGTGGAGAAGAAAAGACGCATGTTAACTGCAAAAGATTTAAGAATTAATGTGAAGAATTAAGTGTGAAACCATCAGGAACCTTTTAGTCTCCAGTGCCACTATTTTCCAGAACTGCAACCTTGAGTCTCCAGAATTACAAGGTGACAGGTTCTCAGAGACTTTGCTTGGGTAAAAAAAATCCTAAAAATGTCCTTTTCTTAATAAGAATAACATTCTGAAGTGTTGTGAAATACATGAAGACTATTCTTATAGGCTTTATGGACAGATAAGTTGAGAGTGACTCTTGAAGGACCAGCACCACATCCTCTTGTACCACTGTTAGAAGAATTGATCTTTCAGAATCTGCAGTAAGTTTTAGGAGCTCATTTTTGTCAGTCTCTGCAAGACAGACTTCTCAGGATAGGAGATGGACTACAAATGAACTCCCAAAACTTACTGCAATATGGAGTTTAGGAGAACATGTAGAACTTGAAAAATTTAAAAAACAACTTAGTGAAAAGTGTTTACAGTTTAAAAGCAAATAGAAAGTCCTATTTTTTTATTTATTTTCTTTATATTTTTTTGCAGATTTGCACATGTACAAGGTTTAAAATGTTCATTAAATATTTTCAAAACATATTGACGTTTTGAGCAGCTGCATTCCTCTAGGTCAAAGATGAAAAAATGGGATTTACAATAAAAAGTAATTTACACAATTATTTTGAATTGAGTTAATTTATTAACGAGTAATGTTTCTTTTGAGTGAATGTGCAAATTTTTAATGTTAACAGGTTTTACCACGTTATTACAACATTTAACCACTTTTTATTAATTTAAAAATGGAGAAATTCTTTCAAATTTAAATATTGTACAAGAACTACAGCAAAAACCAGTTTGATGCATATTTTATCAATATTTTAGAAATTGTATTTGATTATTACCAGTACTGACTTCAATGGATTTAATTAAATTCCTTTGAACACGACTTCTCAAAATGGTCTAAATTTATGAAACCTACACCTTTGTTCATGTTCTTACTGTATCTTATCTTATGTATAAAATACTAAAAATGCCTGCACACTGGTGCATTTACAAATTTATGTTTTATATTCATTTAATTAAATATTTATTTTACATTTCAGAATATAAAGCAATGTTAATTAAGTTCTTAATTTGT